AAAAAACGCTTCTGATTTTTGCCAAAGCTAGAAAACCCTTCTTTCTAAAACACACTTTTTAGTATTTTGGTCAAACAGGAAAACCCTTTTGGTTTTTAAATACGCTTTTTTCGGTTTAGGGTGATAAAAAAGCCCTTACTAGTCAAGGACTTTCACAAAGTACTTCTTAGCAATAAAAATAAGTATATTTATCATTGAGAAGTACTTCTGAAAGTACATGGCAAGTGAGAAATTTTGAAAACACTTGCCAATTTTTCCAAGTACTTAGCAAGTGATCAAGTACGTTCTGTAGGGAGTTGATTAATCGTTGGTGACATGCTCATTCTCCTCTTTTTGACTCGAAATAAGAGTAATGTCATTGATTTATGTCTAAACAAAATTTGTCAGCGCATCAGAATACAATGAAGACGGAATCTTTTACATAAAAATTCTCGTTTGCAGGCAAAAAAACTTTTGTCGACTACAAGTGCGAGTATGGTCATTGTAGTATCCGCACAGAAATTTTTTCCAAATATTTGATTCTGCAAGTCTTACATTGAAGATGTTTGTTCCCAGAAGGCATTGGGTATTGCATATGATAGAAGGGAAATATTAGGCTCTTTAAGTAACTAATTAGTTAATCAGTTGACCGGTTATTTTCGATTACGGTTATGAGTGATTAATTACCGTAATCGGTACTTCTTTCTGTTCAAAAAGTGAACTTTCTCTTTGATCTACTATAGCTGATCGCCTCAACTTAGTAGTTTTTGTGAAAACTTACAGTTCTTTTTCATCTTTTACTTTTAGCTGTTGCATATTGGAAAATGTTGTTTAATCAACATACGAACAATGGTGGTATTAATGGTGCTGTGAATAGTCATAAACAACAACAACAACGATTTAAATATTTAGATTTATGGTTAAAATTTCTTGAAGAAAAAGCATCGCAACGATCTATAACTAAAGACACATGGGATTTATTATTAGAATTTTCAACAACAATTAAAGATGATTTTACCAATTATGATTTTGACGGTGCTTGGCCAGTGTTACTGGATGAATTTGTTGAATATGCAAAAAAAGAAACAGGAATGACAACGACAACGGAACAAAATAGCAATCATATGTCCTGATAGAATAACATTTGTGTAAAACAAGAAATACGCTTGTTTTACAAATAGAGAAAGATTCATTTTTTTTCTGGCAAATAGTACATGACAGAATAAAACTCTAAATTTTTGATAGAAGATTGCTGTGAAAAGAATCAAAACTTCGACAGAAAACGAGAGAACTTTGAAAGGTGAAAACCCGTCCTTACTCCCTCCACTTCCTCAATTATCAACCTTTGTCTGACGAATGCAATGATATGTGTGCCGAAACTGTGACGATCATCTTTTGTTTTCTCGTTCTATTGAGTTATTAACGACGTATTTTTTATATTTGTGTATGTGGTGGTGTGATTCTTTTATAATAAAAAAACAGAAAAAATGCTTTGTCTCTTTAGAGGACAACATTTCTCTAAAAACACGTGTTACTAAATAATGTAGAAATACCATCATTTTTAAATTGTTTATTTTCTCACTTTTGTTTTTGGAGTTCTCAAAACATTGAATTTATTTTAACTTTCTTACCGGTGATTATTCGGTTTCTCTTTTATTCAGGACCATCAAACATTAGTATCTCTACAGCTTGTTAGCTCAATTACTCCTATGCTGAAAGTTTTCATTTTGATCCAGTCGTACCATTTATCACGTACAAAGGTTTAGCCATTTGTTTTTCAGTTCCGTTCTGTCTATTCTGTAAAGTTGAACATATTGTAAACAATTATTCTTTTCTCTTGTAATTCTCGCTTTTCTTTAAACAGAAAAAACATGTATTTATATTATGAAAGCAAATGGTGTTTTTTTTCTACCTGTTTTGATTTTTTTTTCATATTCATTTTTTTACTATATTAAAAAATAAAATATTATGCCTTATTTTGTTTATTATTTGTGGATTGGGAATAATTTCAGTACATCAAAGAGATTTTTAATTCAAGTACTGATCTGAGTAAAGTTCTTCTCTTAATCTTCAAAACCATAGTAAATTTGAGAAAATCTAGTATGAATTTAGGACTACTGATATGCAGTACAACATTGATCCAAGGGAAGGAAACATTTTATTTTCGCACCAAAACGTAGATATGATTTGCTTCTATTTTAGTGTTGACTACTGTCTTGACTATTAATGTCTATTAATGTCTGCCTTGACTATTAATAGTAATGATTTTTTTCTATCTATTTATATCCTCCTGGCCAAAATAAGCGGAACACCTTTTATTAATCCTGTATACAATGGAAGTTAACTTCCATTGTATAGAGGATTAATAAAAACAGATATGTCACTTATTTTGGCCAGAGGAATATATCGTATTTTTAAAACGCTGGAATCGCTTTTCCAGAACAATTACCTCTTCCAGAACAATTACGAATTAATGACCTCAAGAGACATACTATCTGTATACTGTATTAATTAAATTATTGCTGATAAGATAGAAAAATAGTGTATCTCTCTTAGTTTGATATCTATTTAAAATTGACACATTTTAGTTGTTATTCTACTATATAAAACTATCAAGAATATTGATAGAAATATAAAAGTAAATGTTTTCAAATCAAAATGCGTAATAGTATTAAGAAAATTATTTTTAGCAAATAAAATTCGAAATATTTTTCTTCTGAACACGTTCAACAATTCGTCCAATCAGAATTTTTTCTATTTTATAATTCTACATACTTGAACAGACCATTTTTCAACGTAAAAAAAAAACATCTACGCAAATTGTCTATTAGTTTCCTAATTTGAATTTTATATAAAATTACTATAAGCATTTCTCATGAAAATATTTTGTACAAAAAACTTTTTGTACTGCAACATACTATATTCTGTCTGACAGAACTCTCTATGACATATGGTAATTAATGTTCAATAGAACATTTCAACAAATATCCACTCAAATTTCCTACTCGATTATCAAATATTTTTAGTTTTAAAATAACTTTTCTAATATAACAAAGACATCACGCAGACAGTTTTGCGTAGTTAATTCCTCATTAGGTATAAAAAAAAATGTTTAATATGATAATCAGCCGTTTTATACATTAACATGAATTTTTTTTCAAATTACACAAATTATTCTAATTAATATTTAGGTTAATAAATTTGTCTAATAGAATCATGAGATAATTGAACATAAAGAAAAAAAAATAAATTAAAGGATCATCATTCGAAAGAGGATCATCCACAAAAACTCCTCATTATAAATATATAAATACTCAAATATTTTTTCTAATGTATATTTGAAAAATAATCATTCCATCTCATCGTTTGTCTTCTTAAACTCTAGTCAATCAACGATTATGTATTCATTAACATCAAATTTAACTCTTATATTATTCCTAATGTTGTTCTTAATAATTACAGTACAATCAATACAACCATTTTCGGATGTTCCACCCCCACCACCACGACCACAACGATTTTATTCACGTCAACAACTTAAAGAATATTTACAAAAGGTAAGAAATTATATCCTTTGTTTTGTCTTGATAATTTGTTCAGTAACACTTAACTGTTTAAGCTCATCTACGAGCGATTCTACCTTTTATGAGCAAAAAATGGAAAAGAATCACAAGAATCACGATATGATAGAAAAAACTTCTTATTAACTAGGTTCATGAATACTATTCAATTGTTGGTCGACCACGATTTGGACGGTCAGATTCATCTATACGGAACAAGATGAAACCCAAAGAAGCAATAGCCAAATCATATACAACATTAATCGATGGTATCGTTGATTATCTTGATATGAATAAGGATGGATGCATTACAAGAAATGAGTATAGTGAACGAATACTAAGCAAGTAAGTTGAAGTTATCTTCAAGCTAATATCGGTAATTATCATTTTTCTTTTTGTTGCTATAGGTAAATTAAAGCCAGTTTTTAGTAGTACAATTGAAGAATGTGGTGTAATTCGGTGAATCGAACATTTCCTGAGAATGAAGTGTAATGGTATAATCTGCTTTGTTGCAATATATACGTGTATTGTCTTCTTGTATTCGTTTATCTTTTAAACTTCAATAGATTTTTTTATATATTTTATCTAACAACTGGCTGTTATTCACGCTCTATTTCTAACGGCAATTGTTTTAAAAAAATAATAGTACGAAAATAAGTGGGAAAATCAACCTCACTATAATTTCTCACGTTGCCCGTCTTCTAGCATGTTTTATTTTTCCATTGTTAAACAACTATTAAAATAAAGAGAATATCGTGTTTAATCTTCGCCTGTTGTTTTACTTTCTGATAGATATTCTCTGATGTTGTCGCAAACATTAATCACAAATGAAGCTATAGTTCAACTATATCTCGCAAAAACTGAAAAGTTGAACATTCAGATGTCAATCTCATTTCGCTTAAATCATTCGACTTAATTGTAGTTAAAATTAAAAAAAAAATTGAATTCTATTTCTTTTTCAAAAACAAAAGGCAATATGCTTTAGACAAGTGTTTCTTCTCTAAATAGAAAGGAAAATGTGTTATAAAATTCCAGAAAACAAATCTAACTTGATAAAAACTTGCATACGTAGATTTTTTATGCTTGTTTTTTACTCTCCTAACGGATACGCTGTAAATACATATTATTAATCATACTTCTGTTTATTTCATGTCATAACTACGTCAACTATTATGAAAACATTTACCTGTCTGGATTCAAAGTTAGCATGAAACTTTGTGCTTATATGAAAATCAATCACAAGTAAAAAGTATGCCGCATGAAAAAATTTGTTTTGGTTATTACATGACCAACAAATAGATTTTGATGTAATTATAGATAAGCCACAAACTATCACAATTGTGTGTGTGAAAGTGTGGAATTAAATTTCTAAGGTTGAAAATTTCAAAAAACTCAAAATTTTCAAATTTTAAGAACATTTCTTTCTTTGTTTTGAGTCTTTTTACCGAATTAAAGATTTATCTAAGGTTTTTTATAGGGTTTACCTACTCTAACCAAAACTTCGAATACTTCTAATCAACATTCGAATCATAGCATTAATCTATCATGTCAGAGTATAGTGCAGTAACGTATAAATAGACCTGCACCAGTTAAAAACGAAGTGTGATTTTATATTTTCGAAAATAGAAATGTTATTTCGATATATGTGTATATTATTTATAGTATTAGTTATAAAATGTTCTCAATAATATAGAATTATAGCGCAGAATCTGCTCTACAGAATAGTTTAATCAAGAGCTCGTAAAAATATCAACATTTTATTGACCAGTTAAATGCGGTTAATTGTTCAGTTAATGACTGATCCTTTTTTAGGAAAATGGTGATATTTTTCTAGCTTTTAATGAAACTATTTTGTAGAGCACGTTCTGCGCTGTAATTCTATATTATCGAGAATTTTTTTTAAATCACAGTTCGTTTTTACCTAGTGCAGGTCGACATATAGGTACCCCAGTCGAAATAATATAAAATTGTTTGATAGAAGTAGTGTGAAAGTGGCACGTAATGTAGCACGTGAGATACAGTACTGTTTCTAAAATTTTAGAATTTTTGACCTTAGAAATTTAATTCCAAACTTTAAAACACGCATATTCTTGTTCAGCTCGACGAGCTTTATCCAACCGTGTATAAATGTCGATTAAATAAATTACACCTAAAGTTTGAATTTCGTGCGCCTTATAAACTGTTGAAAAACCACTTCAACAG